TTTCTTTATTCTTGATTCTATTTCATATTATTATTTAAAACAAAACAAGGCGTACCTATTCGAACAACATTTGATGAAGAATATACGAAAAATTTAGTGACACAATTACAACCATTTCTTGAACGTATCAAACGTACAATTAATCATATCGGTTTAAAAGATGTTATTGAATTACGTTTAAAGACAAAAAACTTGGAATATCTTTTGAGAACAGATAATTTATGTACTTTTGTTGTGTTGCAAAGACATGAAAAGCTTAATAAGAATGGAACCGATGAATAAGAAAATATATCATATCTGACTTAAATCGTATAGAGAAAAAAAAAGTCACGCAAGTTTTTTCCAAATTAATTGTATGTAACTACAGCTGGTTTAGCAATAAATCGATCACGAACATGTGTTTGTCGTGTATACATTTCGTCGCGTAGAACCGTCATACTAAAATCAAAATCAACAAAATAGATAAAAAAGAGCAGATGATTAATTAAATACCTTTTCTTAAGTATATCATATTTTGTTTCCCACATTTGAATTTCTTGTTTATGTTTTTCAGAATGTCTATAAATTTACGAATGGAAACATTTTTTTCTAATAATTTAATCAAATGTTTTTTTTACCGTTTCATATCATTTCGATGACGTTCTTCCATAGTTATATATTTCTCGAACTTACTTTTAAATGTTTTTTGTTGTGTATCAATCTAAAAATGGAACAAATATGGTTTCCTTTTTTTTCTTTTGAAGATATTTATTTCCGTACTTCTTGCATTAATTGTTGTATCTGAGAATTTTTTTGTTCAATAATTGTTTGATATTTATTTTCAAGTGCTTCAACTTTAGTTTGCATCAGTACTTGTAATTCTTTATTAGCATCTTCTGAGTTATCTTTTATTGGTGATGGTGCCCATGGATCAGTTTGAGCTAAACGTGATTGTGTTACAACAGTTGGTGTTGGAGTTGGTTCACGAACTGTAACTTTTTTTGATTCTTTTAATTTAGTTTGAATAGTAGTTAAATCACGTTCTAAATATAGATGAAGACTTTGATAAAACAAAACCCAAACACAATTGTTTATGAAATATATTACTAAGATCTCGAATTTGTTCATCTTTTTTCATGATTGTATCTTCTGATTGAGCTATTGTTCGATTAGCATTAGCTAATTCTTTAGTTAAACGATCTTTTTCATCGTTGAGAAAACCTGTAGCTAATTTAATTTCATACTAGAATATAAAAGACGAAGACTTTTGAAAATATAAATCAAAATATATTTCGAACTTTAGTTGTTTCTTGTAATTGTTCTATTTCTTTTTTTAAATTAGCTATTTCTGTTTCATAACCTTTCATTGCTGCTTGTTGAAAGAGTGATTTTTCTTGATTTTCACTTCCTGATTGTTGCTTTTGAGCGATCGATTCAGATGATGTAGGTTTATCACTCTATAATATACGTAAAAAAGTTCATTATTTGTTTGTTTTTTTTTATAGAAAAATGTTAAAAATTTTTAATTTTACATTAATAATACTTCTTGCTTGTGATATAAAATCATGTAATTGACTACGATATGAAAGTCGCAATGTTTCAAGTGCCTGACAAAAATCAATTTCATACATTGTTTTCTTATTAATTAAAAATGCCTACTTTACTATGATTTTTTCTTAATACATCAAGTTTGTCTGTTAATTGATAATATCTTAATGAATAGAACGAATAAAATATAGAATAATATTAGTAGATCTTACATTTGTTGCCCATTTGCTTGTAATTCATCATAAAATGATGATCGTAAACTTTCACGAGTGAAAGTTAATTCACTTTTAAGCCATTCAATTTCCTATATAATATATAAAAATGTATTTATCAATTATAAACTAAGGAAATCTTGATACATGATAAAGCTTTTCCAATAATTTGGTTGTATGTTTCAATTGAACAATTTCGTTTTGTTCTGTTTGGCAAGCACAATCTGAACAATAAAGTCCAACATAAAGCTGCTCAGCAATTGGAATTGTCGTACTATATCAATGAATACGTTTCATTCAAATAATGAAACTTTTTTTTAAAATTCATAATTACCTCATAGTTCTTTCAAAAAAATAAACGATTGATTTTTTCTGATCACTACCAGTTGTATATTTGAATTTGCCATTTTTGCTCAAGTCTCCGAGGTAACTCACTAACAAACGAATTGTATTTCTATTGAAACGAGAAACTAACGACATCTAGCGAAGATTCGACCGTTTCACGTCTTTCATTGTGAAACGTGTTTTTGCCAAAAATTTATGTTTAAATAAGACGAAACCTTGAAATGATTCAAGCATTAAAAAAAGTATCTGATTGATAGGCTTTTTTTTAATATTAATAAATTCCATTTACATATATATGCCTACCATATGGAAATGAGAAAAAAAACTGTTTCGTGACACAACAAGTGGTCTCGATATTACCAGATGGCCAACGAAGAAACAAAAAGTGAATAGCATCACTACTCAAAATAATAACTGTTGTTCTTCTCGTTGGCGAGATGTGCACATCAAAAAGAAAAACTCAGCAAAAGAATGAAAAAGGTGAGCTAGTGTCGTTGTCGATTACCATCTGTTATCTCGTGTAATCGATCAGTTTTGCATCGATGTTGAGTGACCTAGTTCCACCTCTATTTTTTATGTTCTCTTGAGAGATACATACATACATCACTTTTTTTTCACGTCACAATTGTAAAAATAAAAAAAGAATACGAGAAATATATTATCGAGGGAGTCATCATTGTATTCTGTTCAATATAGATAATCGATGAGAATATTTCTTAGTTTTTTTTCCCATCTGGTCATAAATACATATGTAGACAAATGAAAAAAAACTAATGTTATTTCTGGCTTTTTTTCTCATTGCTCGAAGCTATTCACCGACAAAAAAAAATGATTGGCATAATCTTTTGATTCATTTTCAAATCTAACACCGAATGTCAACAAAACCAGTAACTAAATCTTATGCGTCTTATCTGAAATAAAAACACCAAAGAAAATAACGAATGCAGAAAATAAAGAATAGTAATTAATACGGTCGAACAATTATGATAAGCGTTGTTGTATGTTTTGCTCAAGTGTCATCTGAAAATACTCTCACAAACGGACAATGTCAATCCTACGCATACATATACATAGCGACAATAGTCTCGGAGTCGGCTCCTTACGTGACGAACATAAATGAATAAATAAATGTGAAGGCGTGCTTCACTCACTCTTTGCACTCATCATCATCATCACGACAGACAAGAAGCAGAAATAAGATCACAAGTACAAGCAATAATTTAACAAAAAGAAAAGAAAACTCCATCTGGCCTTTTTCTCAGTTGAATAAAACTGTTCTAGACTAGTTTACTTCAAGCAAACACATCATCAGTCGTAGAATACACATGCATATTTTTTTCCAATCTGATGCGTAACAGTGTATTAAAAATTGATTTTCCCCTTTCTCTTTTTTTTTTCGTGCACACGTCGGTGCGTATGTTTGTGGTTGCCTTCGGGGCAAGTATACAAGGATTGCATATATATGTATTAATGAGCAACGGAAATCTAACAACTCAACAAGTACCTGAAAAAAAAAAGGGCAGATCAAAGAAATAAAAAAACAACTCATATGATAAAATAAAAGAGGATACAATGTGAAATAGAATTTTGGTTTTTTATTAATATGATTTTTTTTTTGTCAGCCGATGAAATTTTATCTATTCAATGTCATAGCAACCTTTAATTATATGAATATAATATCTCATCTTAATTTCAAATACCTTAAAACTAAGAAAATATTACCCATCGAGTATTATTAAGAAGTTGAAACTTGCATTTAAATTTAAAATGTATTTTGTTCTTAACAGTGAAAAAATGCTTTTGAATTAATAATTATTTGACAAGAACAAATGTCATTGTTTTTCATGGAAGATGTTTTTTGCTATATTATTTTATGATTATTTACAATACTAAGTTTTTTTAGAATATATCTATTATCTTAATAAGATATCTTCTGTATATCTATATAGCTTTGAATAAAAATTGATGAGCAAAGAAAATGTCTTTTTTAGATTTCCTATTCTTTACTTAACATATAGAAAAAAAAAAGAAAAAAAAGAATAGAATATAACGTGAATAGTTGATGACGGTGGACCGCTCATTTGTTCAAATGGGCTTTTACGAGTATTAACTTATTTATATCATTTTTACTTCTATCACCTATCTCATTGCACGACAACAAAAGAAAAGAAGAATTCGAGTTCGATTGAATTAAAGTAAGAGAGAAGCACAAAAAAAAAGATAATACTTGTATAAAAAAGAACATAGAACTGATCGTCGCCTTGCGTGTCGCTGGCGCTTGGGGAAATCTTCTCTCTTTACTCAGCTAAAGATGACAGACAGATGTTGTAACACTCATTTTGTTAAACGTCATTCATTGGTTAATGAAAAACATGAACAACCAATGAACGAATTTTTTATCTTTTCTCTACAGGTAAATTTTCTTTCCGCTTTTTTTTCTTTCTCTTGTCTAATCGAAGAAAAAGGTCTCTCTCATTTCTTATTTATCATTAATCATTCACGGAACGAACAGCAGCAGTGAATAGGAAAAAAAAAGAAGAAAAAACTCTTGCAAGCAACTTACACCTTTTTTTTTTTAACCATTACGACCAACAGAAAACAGTTACCAGAACAACTCAGTCTGGCCAGTCATATTGATTATATATATCTCTCTTTCTCTTGTGTGAATGAATGAGTGAATGAATGAATATTGATAAATTATTATGATCAAATGCATTTCTTTTTTAACTATGTATGTATTTATTTATTATTTAGTATACACATACATAAAACAACATCAACATAGACATAATCATTCAAGTGTACCAAAAAAGAATATTGTCAATTCATTGTTAATAATAATGATAGCTTAAACATAAAGTAAATTATTGATTGATTCTAATAAATAAAGTAATAAAAACAACATCCCCACCCACAATGCTTACAAGTACATCATCTATTGAACAATCATCATCAATAACACCAATGAGTAAATTATCATTTCCTAACACATCAAATTCATTTATGTCATCACAAGCAACAACAAGTACAAATGCGAATTCAAATTCAATAGGAACTAATAGTGGAAGATATTCACCAAGTAATTTTTATCGAGCTGCAGCTGTAGCTGCTGTTACAAGTGACCCAAATAATCGACGATATATGCCAAGTACACCGGTATGTAAGAAGGAAAAAATAAATTAGATTTATCTCATCTTTCGTCTATACGTGCATGTCTGTGTGTCTAAGATAAGTCAAGGTGTTGATGATCTGTTTTCTTATTCTTTTGTAATATGAATCGAGTTGTACAAAGTTTTTTTTTTTGTTATACGTTGCTCTGCTTTGTCGTTCTTTTATGCAATGATGAACACAGACAGGATTATAGAACACATAGCAGTTGATCCAATCAGATTTTCATAATTGAATTCTTTATTTACGTGACAAAGATCATGTTTTTTGTTTCTTTTTTTTTTTTTGATTGAATGATTAATTTGACTTCATTTGTTTTAGTGGTCAAAATCTAATTGTTTTGGTGATAGTTTTAAATTTGAACCCAATGTAAGTATGATAAATGAAAATAATAATGATAATATTTATTTTTCTTAAGAGTTTATTTTGTCCAACAATTGATGATAATTTTTTCCGTCAAGCTGAAGCTCTTACAAAACCTGAATCATCATCACTTTATTATCCATCACCTTTTGCTTGTTCATCAGGCACAGCTACTGTTTCCTCTTCTTCGTCATCATCATCATCAGCAGCCGTTTATCCAGGCTCATCATCAATAGAATCTCATCTTCCTTCTGATCATAATCAACATAATCATCATCCTCAATTAAATTCTGATTTACATCCATTTTATCAACATCAATATGCTGCTGTAGCTCATCATCATGCTGCAGCTGCTGCTGGTGTTTTACCCGGTATGGTTGTTGGCATGCATCATCATTCAGTTCATCATCATGGTGTTGTCGGTGGTCTTTTACCAGCACATGAACTTGATATTGATCCACGTGAACTTGAATCATTTGCTGAACGTTTTAAACAACGTCGAATTAAATTAGGTGTTACACAAGCTGATGTTGGACAACAATTATCAAAATTAAAAATGCCTGGTGTTGGTTCTTTATCACAATCAACAATATGTCGATTTGAATCACTTACATTATCACATAATAATATGGTTGCATTAAAACCAGTTCTTCAAGCTTGGTTAGAATTTGCTGAGGCAGAAATGAGACAAAGAAAAAAAGATGAAATGAATGGTTCAATTGGTAGTTCAAGTGGACATGGAAGTTCAAATGGAAGTTTAGCTGATAAAAAACGAAAACGAACATCAATTGCAGCACAAGAAAAACGTTTTCTTGAGTCATGTTTTATTCAACAACAAAGACCGAGTGGTGAACGTATTGCACAAATAGCCGATAAACTTGATTTAAAGAAGAATGTTGTGCGTGTTTGGTTTTGTAATCAACGACAAAAGAATAAACGTTTAAGATTTGCTGCTGGACAATCAGCATAATAGCAACAAAAGAAAGAACTAAGAAAAATATAAAATTATTTAAAGATCGATCAATCAATCCGTCCATCTCAATGAGTTTATACATTCTTTTGTTGTTGTTGTTGTTGTTCTTGTTCTTGTTCTTATTGTTGTTGTCTATCACGTTGTTGTCTTCTTTTTAGTAGTTAATCTTTATTTTCTAGCACAAAGTGTATATTCTTTGTTCTATAATAATCATATTGAATGAATTTGAAAAAGTATTATAATTATCTTATAAAAATTATAAGAGGATTAGTATGTTGAGAATCTACATCAAGGTTCGCGTAATAATTGATATGATCCTACATCTTTGTTATATTGAACTATGTTTTAATTAAATTATTTCTACTATTTTTATAGTTCAGAGAAAGTAATCATGAAATATAATTAAGATTTGTTTGAAGGTAATGATTATAATGATAAACTAAAACAACATGATTAAAGATTTTAGTTTTACTTCAATTAAAAATTTTCTAGATTGAACATAACAGCTATTGATGATACGCGTGATAAATAAAAAATTCAAATTCGATGCAATAAGTGAAATCGATATGAAGAAAAAGAAGAATTCAAAGTTCTCGCCCCTTGTCAAAAATTGCAACTTTCGTCAAAAAAAAAAAAGTCGATTTTGAGTTTTTTTATGTGGTAGGATACCTTTCGTTGTCTACTGATGTGTTTTCACGGTTTTACACTGGAGTTACTAATGATATTGAAATCAAGAAAAATGACTTTTTTTAAAATGTTAGTAATTATTATCATTTGAACTTTTTCTAAAATATCTCATAGAGGAGAATCTAGCAAAAATGTGTGAAATAACAAGCACTGTAAGCCTTCGAACAAATGTACTCGTGCCCTGTATCTTTTTTCTTGGCAGTGTCCGTTTCGTTATATAATTCATTTGACAGTGTTGTGTCGGAAGAGACGTCTTCTGACTTAAGTATGCATTCTCTTTTCTTTCTTCCTCTTTATTCTTTCACGTTTATTATCGTTCATTTCTTCTTATTTTTTGTCGGTTTAGACATCCGGTATTGTTTGTGTGGGTGTAAATGAGTAGGACTGACTGTGGATGGGTGACATGAATACTTGTCATCACATCTGATCTGTTTTTTTTTCGTGTAGATTCTGATTTTCAAATGTTGTACAAGTACACACAAGCGTTTTTTTGATTCGACACGATCGATAACACATGGCAGACTACGATTGATGCGTTTCCTCTAACGTTTTACTAAATAGAAACATTGATTTTCAATTGCAAACTTTTTTTAGCATTTTTCTCAAAATAATTTTTTTATTATTTTTTTCTACTTATGCATCCTAGACTTCTCAGCCATTTTACATGCTAGAAAGTGCAGAAAGTTTTTAAATTGAAAATAAAATTGCGCCTCATAACTTTCCAGAGCTGAATTTTTTATTTTTGACTTATTTCTTTAGAAAAATGGGTCTTTTTTTGCATAGGAATACTCCTATTTTGTAGAGCTTTTCAAAAAAAAAGAAACTAACGCCAAAAACTGATAAAGAATTTTAAATATCGAACTCTGTTAGGTTGTGGCAACAAGTTGTGACGACATCTTGACGTCAATTCGAGATCTATGTCATTAGATTTGGAGTAAAATCTGGGACATATGAATACTTACTTTTTGACCCTTTACATAGGAATAACTCCTGAACAGCTCAATATTTTAGACTGAAGTTTTTATTGGAAGCCTTTTAGGTTTGGGCTTATATGTCCTGAAATGTTCAGCTAGATTGATTGTGCTCAAATGAAAATAGGTTTTTGAAAGCAATGAGAGTCTTAAGGCTTTAGATATTATACTAAAGTCTAACTTATTTTTAATAGCCATATTTGTCATTTTTTTAGAATTAATTCAACTGAAAGCTTCAAAAAATGAGTGAAAAAAAGTGGATGCAGCACACAAAAGAAACAATGAAAAAACTGAACAAAAACTAATAATGAGCAGTAAAAGTTCGTGAAAAAGAAAGAACAATCTAAACGAAAATCAAATAAAACATAAAATATATTTTTTATTTAAGTAATAAAATCATTACATTTAATAAATGACAAAGCGATAGAAAATAAATAAATAAAAATATTTCTATCTGTATAGAATGCTTCATAGGTCTTGAGGTTCCACATGATGAGTTTATAAGCAAACAGAGAATAGTACCTAACCGAACCTATCTATGTGAGCTTTGAGTACCCATGTCAATCTTTCAGTTGGCTTATGTATTGGATGGCATCCTTTCTTGTAATAATAAAAATGTAAACATGAGAATATGATAATAAATTTTTTAAAATTAATCAATAAGGTATATTTTATAAAAAAAAAAGAAAAATCTCTTTATAGTTATAACAAGTTAGTTTTGTCCATTCTTTGTTTAATCTAGTTTTTAGACTGTTCAAAGCTTGAATATTATTTTCTTCGCACTTTTTTCTTTAATATTTGCCCTGGATTTTCAATGAATCATACTCCAGCAAATTTAACATTATCATATTGATGTGAAACTCGATCGTCAAATGATTCATCATTGGTTCGTAATTCAATCTTTATTCTTTGTTTTGAGTCGGCATCATATTGAAATATAGCATTTCTTTATAACCAACTTCTGTCATGTTTAACATATTGTATTTGATTTGTTTCGTAATTATTATATGACATTAAATCAATCATTTTCGGAAAGTAGCTTCTTTTTATCAAATGTCGCTCCAAATAAAAACAATACTACTTGCAAGCTTCTTTTTTAGTCGATCACAGGATGGTAATGGTATTTTTTGAACATTCGCTGTCTAAATATCTTTAGTTTGACGAGTTGAAAGCGATTCTAGGATAAAGTTTTCACAAAAATTAGTATTGATAATTTTATTTCACGTTCGATTCTTTGGTCTTTTTGTAAAGCTAAAATTTCTTCTTGATTTCTTAGGACATGTAATATATTGTATTTTGTTATCATATGTCAATTTTTGCTTTCTTTTTTAAAAATCATTTCAATCTGACTGATTTTGCTAAAAAATTTTCTAACACCGACTTTGCCCTTTATTTGGATTTCTTTTAACTACAGATGTTCGTACCTAAGCAACGTGAATAACAAATTCGGATATTTCTTGCTGAATTTCGCTTCTGTGCTTGTGTTGGATGCAAAATTTAATTCCATATCGACTCGTGCTACTTTGAAAGGAAGTTATCCAGAGAAAACTGGAGTTTGGAGTCAAAATACTGAAATTCCGAGTCTGTTATGGCAGTAAACATAGACCTGTTTCATTATCTATTTTAGGCGCAGAATATCCTTCTTATGAAATGGAATTCGTTTTGATGGATGTCATGGAACCAAACCACAATTTTTATTGGGTTGCTCTCACTATTGTTTTCGATGACGTGTCTCAATGCCAATTGTACCAATTTTCTGTATCGGAATCTCTATTGAATGTTAAGTTTTAATTCATTTGAAAGATAGTTGCTTCTAGAAGGCTTACAGGACATTCAAGATTAATTATGATTATTACGAGAAAAGAGCATTGACTTAATTCGTCAGGACTTTTTTTAAATCATTTTTTAGAGTAAGACAATATTTAGTGTTATTCAGATAGATTTCATTTTATCCGATAGTTTCTATGTAATTATTTTTTCATTTTTCTACAAGACATAAACTTATGCCCAAAGATCACATCTATTTACTTCTTCCGTATGAATTATAATTATATAATTTTTATTGAAAATGAACTTCTACTTATGACAATTATACTGATTTAGCAAATCAAATTTTTATGTAGACAAAAACAACTATTAATATGTTTTAGATAATATTGTTAGAATAACTGTCAACAGAATTCGTTATCCATTTATTTATTTTTGAATTTGATCACAAATGAAGTTATCAGATAATTCGAAAGATTTATTAAAAGTCGACACAACTAATTTGATTGAATATAGATTGAATATAGTTATCCATTATTAGACAAGCAATAGATGATCACTTGATAAATATTCGATCTTTATATATAATTATCTGATAATGCATATTATACAAAATATCATTTGATTTATATTGATCTTACATTATTTAATAATGACAGTCAAACATTTTATTTGATCTTGTTTCAATATAGAAAAATTGATGCTGACATTTATTTATTTAATTTTTTCTTCCAAAAATGAATTTGCTGTTTTTGAGTATAATTAATAAACAAGCATATATATCTCAAAATTCAATTCAAAAGTGCTTGTTATATTCTCCTGTCGACTAAGAATGAAAGAAAAATTTGTTCTTCTTTCCGAAACAATTTTGCTGGCATTGTTTATTTATTATATAAAAGAATTATTAAACAGGTTGAATTAATATATGAAAAAGATTTGAACAAAAAAAAATATTAATGAAAGTAAAAGTTTTTGAAGAATTTGTTAATTCATTAAATATCATTTTTTTTAATTGATTATTGTTTTCTCTTGGCAATTCGATTATCTATTGTCAATGTTATAGAAATTCTTTTTTCTAAGTTACTTTATTAGAAAACAAAATGAAAAAAGAAAAATATTAATTATTTCCATCCTGACCATTTGTTTTTTATTTTCAAAAGTTTTTGTTTACTTTCTTATCAATAGAAATTTAAGTTAAAACAATTCTTTCTTCAGTCACTTTAAATCAACAATCTGACTTGTTTTTTTTTTCATTTTAGCATAGATATTCAAAGGAAAGAAGCACTTCCTCCGAAAAAAGTAACATTTTTCATTGATATTCACCTATTCTTATTACAGTCTGCATATTCCAAATTCTTTGACTAGACAGAACGTGAATTCTTCTTTACTCGATGTTTTAATATCATCTATTAAAACCATTGATGCTTCAGACGTCAATTTGTATCACATCCAAAAAGAGATGACGCAGAAATATGGCAAGGGGACGAGAAAAAATTTAGTTTAAACAATACGAGCGATCTAATATGATATGACACATATCTTCATTAGCTAATTTGCGTTATCTTGTTCCAAAAAGATACAAATATCCACAAAAGATGCGATAGAAAAACTGTTACTTATGCCATTTGAAAAAGTTCGCAACATTATGAGTAGATGCCTAATTCGAGTCGGAATATAAATGGAAAATTCAAAAAACAACAATCGCATCCATATTAAAATAACAAAAGAAGGCAAATGATAAAACTTTATATAAATTATAATTTGTAAATTCAAATGTGCCCATGTTAAAGCCCCAAAAAAGCAAAGCATAAATTTTTTCATAATTTATAATTTATATAAAATTTTATCTTTTGCTTTTTTTTTGGTACTTTAAAATTGATACGATTTTTTTTTGATTTTTCCATTTATATTCGAACTCGAATTAGGCATTGTAAATTTGTAAGTTTGTTTGAACGTCAGTTCCTTTTTTATTTGTTCAATGACACTAACCGGAATATATTTAGTAGAGAGGAGTGCAAGAAGAACGACTTAACGAAAGAACAAGAACGCTCCGCAGAACATATGTATCTAAATATATATATGTGTATAACATGTAAGGAAGGAAAAAATCTATACATAACGCACATGAAAAGAATGGGAAAATACTACTGTTGTATGTCCTATCACTTGTAGAGAAATATCCAATATGTATATTGGAAAATACCAACAGGCATCTACTCTTGTTTTCTGTTCTTTTATTAAACAAAGTTAAAACAAAAAAAAAACGCAGAACAAAGCATAATAGAATAATAGAAATTCTGGAATATTGAAGTCATTAATAGAGGTGGCATGTTAGCATTAGTATTTAAAAAATGCTAATGCTTTAGGCATTAGTATTAAAATTAATTAATGCTTAGGTGTTAGCATTAAATTAGCATTAGTTTTAACTCTAATGCATAGTTCCCAAAAGTCAGAACAATTTTGTTCGGTTTTCGGAAAATATGACTCATCGATGAATCATGCTCCACAAAACAGAACAAATTTGTTCTATTTTGGAAAACTATGCATTAGAGTTAAAACTAATGCTAATTTAATGCTAACACCTAAGCATTAATTAATTCTAATGCCAATAATGCCAAAGCATTAGGGTTACTTTTAATACTAATGCCTAAAGCATTAGCATTAGTATTAATAAATGCCAATGCTAATTCTAATGCACCACCCTAGCCATTAATCAATGTTCATGGTGTTGGTGCCAGAAACATTGCTGCACAAAACACACAGTGTGGTGGAAATCCACCCAATGTTGCAATACATGTTGGCAGGCAGGCACCAAATCCCGCAGCACCAAGAAATGGAACGGCCATAGCTGTTGCGCAGCAACCGGCACAACATGTGGCACCAGCAGCTGGACCGCCATCAATTTGCACTTGAAATTGACTAAGTAATAGAGCAGAAAGAACGATGCCTATGAAGCATTTCATTGTTGTTGTCTATAAAGTCAGATATGAATAAGATTGTATAGGATTAGAAAAAAACAGAAGCTTATTTACCGTTTTAAACTTGAGTCGATTAGTGTAAGTAGCAAGAAAATAGGTTAAAGCTTTTATGGGTATGTTATGGGAGATGCCTGCATATTTAAATAGTGAAAAGTGAACAGTTGGATTTTTCCAATCACATGTTTGGTATATGTGTTATGTCATGTACTAGAATCGTGCTATAATATTTCTGCGTTACATGTATTTTTTCTTTCTCTTCTGTACGCTTACGTGTGTTCCAACGCTTTGTTTTCTGCTGGTATATTCTTTGTGCGTTATTCATCCATTCTAGAAGTTGTCATACTTTACTCATCGTTATTTATGAGTAGATGCCTAATTCGAGTTGGAATATAAATGGAAAATTCAAAAAAATAATCGCACCCATATTAAAATAGCACAAGAAGGCAAATGATACAATTTTATATAAATTATAATTTGTAAATTCGAATGCACCCATGTTAAAACACCAAAAAAGCAAAGGATAATTTTTTTAATAAATTATAATTTATACAGTGGCGTAGCGAAGGGAGGGGCAAATGGGCAAATGCCCATTTCATTTGGAGATTTGCCCATCGTAATTTTTGTTAATAAGCTTTTGTCCATTGAAATTTTATTATTTTAAAATTGTTTATTTATTTTTGGATTAAATACTGTTTGTATTTTTTTCTTCGGTCTAAATTACATATGCACTCTGTGCTTCTTCTTTCCGTAAAGAATTAAGAAGAAACGAAGAAAAGAATTACTGCTTGTATTTTAACCGTAAGTATGGGTGAACGTAGGTTCAATTTTCTAGAGAAAACACTAATCATATAAAGGTAGAGAAGAACAGGTGAAAGAGAAGAGAAATAGAACGCATATAAACATATGGATTTGGTCAATCGGCTTGATATCCTAAGATTTATTTACTTATGTAGTTGGTATCAGTTATTAGAAAAATATGAATTTTTGTACCATTTATAGTATACAGATAATGCTAATGAATTATTTGAGATATATATCCTAATAAGAAAGAGAATTATCGATTGTTTTTTGATATCCAGTTTGTTAGAAGAACTCTGTATCAGATTTTTTACACGTACATCGATTTCTATTAAAGTATTTCAAACAATATGAGGTATCAACAACAAAGTTTTATTACTATGTAATAAATTTTGCAACTATATCCAACGTAAAATGTTGTATACTGATAAGTGAAATATTCAGCCAATTGTAGAGTAGATAGAATATAATCATTTTTGCAATTTTAACAAAGCTGGTGAAAGCCATAAATAGCTTCTTTATACACAAGGCTCAAATAATAAAGAATTGAGAAGTATAGAACATCTTACATTGGGTATAGTTGCAAATAAACTACATAATAATAAAGCTTTGTTATTGATACCTCATGTTCTTTGAAACACTGTAGTAGGAATCGATGTACACCCTTGGACAAAAGTCTTCCCCTCTGTATTTTTATCCTATCATACTTTGGATGAAATTTATTGTCAATTAAAGATATAATATGAAAGTTTTATTGCAGTATTGTGTATAGATCACACTACAATAAAACTTCCATGTTATATCTTTACTTGGCAATAAATTTCATGCAAAGTATGATAGTATAAAAACACAGAAGGGGAAAGACTTTTGTCCGGAGGTGTATCATATGTTCATAAGGGGACTGATGATCTCGATCACGCTTGATAAAAGTAGGAGATCATTTTAAAACAGCCTATATGATCCAATTTTGCGAGCTGAACATGAATCTGAAGTCAGTTTTCATGATTTCTAGAGAAATTTGTAGGAGCCGTCCCTATGGTCAGTAGTAGGGTAATCCAAAGTGTGATCCATGCTAACTTGGTCCTCCACCCGGCCTTTTGATCTTGACAACTTAGTTTCAAAAGATGTATCTTTGTGAAATCTTTGTCTGGTGAAAAAAGAACTCTATGACTTTGTTCAGCACGGGAGAAAACTCCAAAATACCGACCTCTCGGAACCAACAATTTCTCGCGTTTTGAACACATTTTGACTGATGGTGTTTTTATCAGCTTATATGTCTAGAACTTGAATCGAATAAAGTTGTAGCCTAAACTGCCCTCTATAAAATGAGACGTTTCTGAGCTCAAGCGGTCGATCCATTCGTGAGATAATGTCAAAATACTGAACATACCCTCAGAATAGCAGTTTTTGAGGTCAAAAATGATCCTTTTAAACTTGTTTCAGCTCGCAGTTTTCATAGATAAGGCCAAATGACTTAATATTTTGGATTTGTTTATGCTTTACCTACACCTTTCATTTGAGATTTAAAAAAATAGAATTTTTTTCTCCGGCGACCTTCGCATTGAGTAGCGGGTCTCCTCTCCCAGACTCTCTCTTAAAAATATCCAAAACACATCTGACTTAGGTTTGAGCTTCGAACTTGATGCAAATCTGGTTAACGAGAACCTCATTTTTTGTGCGTTTTTTACGTTATTAGTACTTTTTGGGCCAAGAGAATTTCTGGCCTATCATTAAAAGCATCACCCATTTTGCCCATCATTTTTTTCCGACACTAGAGAAGTATGCCCATTGATCTAAAAATCCTAGATACGCCACTGAATTTATATAAAATTTTATCTTTTGCTTTTTTTGGTATTTTAACATGGGTGCAGTTTCTTTTTAAATTTTCCATTTATTCGAACTCGAATTAGGCATCTACCCGTAAAAATGGGCATAGTTTTTATTTTGTGATGTTGGACTTTTTTTAGTGGCCCACCTTGAATAATTTTAAAAACTATAGGGTTTTGTAGCCCATGAAAAGAGCTATCCGATGAGCTATAATAGAAGCTGGCTTATTCGGATTTTTAGCAAAATGATTAATCAAATATGCTGATGCGACCATTCAAAATTTTAGCGTAGGAAGTGCTCAAATGTGTTTGAAACGTACCTGAAATCTGGTATCAAAGTACTCGGTAGTTGAAGCTCTTTCATTCTATATATGATTGTGCTGGATATAGTGTGAAAAACTCAATGGATCGAATGAGGGTCTTATGTGTCCCTGTCCTTTAAAATAAATTAAAATTTAATTTATTAAAATTTTTTAAAGGATGCCACCAGATAAATCAACAAATCTGACACCCTACTAGACAGCATTCTAATGAGTCTAAAAAGAAAGCCCGCACATTTTTGCGTAGTTCTGTGCATTTTTTCTGCAATTTCATGATTCCAGATTGATTTTTATGGAGGGTACTTTGACTGAAGGATGTTTTCGTTTTACATGTGTTTTTCTGTCATAATAGATCTATCTTATTAACTATGAAAGTTGCATATAGATAAATTGTTTTCTCAACTATCATACACCAAAAGATGCAGCTAGTTTTTTTCTACAAAATAGTTATCAATGATCAATAGTTATAGAGGATAAATGATAAAAGGATGTGGAGTGTATCTTCCCTTTATACGCACCCACATCCACAGCCACACACTACAAATACAAGGAAAAAAATGAAGAGACCTCAACAAGGTATTATACTTCAATTTTATTTAATTGCACATTGCGTTACAATGTTGTTTTTAATTTATTAACAGTTGTTCATTCAATGCAAATCCACATTTATCCGTTATTTAATCCAAGTTACATAGAGGTTGATTTTATTCTGGTGCAGAAATTCCGTCACACTTGATGACGATTGTTTTGATTTTTCCTGTTGTTCATCTCCTTACAATATTGAATGGTAGCATTGCTAGCTGAGCAATTTTTTGACTTAAATAAAAAAACTGGATCGACGAAGTCCTTGCAAAATTTCTCAACAATTTAGATATCTTTAAAAATTCTTTTCTGTAGTATAATAATTTAAAGTCACTCACAATAATGATCGATCGACTAGTCAAAAGTACTTATATATTCTATCAAACAACTTCTATGTAGACTAACTTTAATAGTATATGAAGCTATTAGTAGAAACCAATGTTAGCAATGAAAATAACAAACTCACCAAGTTTCTTCCTGAGAAGAAAGATGAAATGATAACGAAATAGTCAATGTCTTGAGAAATACATTTGAAGACGAGAAAATAAACATTTGCATCTAATGAATGAAATAATCTGTTGTTTTTCTGATGATCAAAACTTGAAAAAAAGTTTCCTGGGATTTTTTTACATCAAGGCCAAAAATAGTATCTGATGAGGAAACTCATCCGACTGATATCCTACATTTGAGTTTATATTTTGCTCATAAACTGGACTCATGATTCAGATAAAAATAGAAAAAACGTTTCGTGCAATTGCTCCATCTCTAACTATATTCATTCTACTGATGTTTTCAGGTTATTGAATGATACTACAAAAAAAAGTAATGATGAACTTTCGCTGGGAACTTTCCGCAACAATAAATCTTATTGTTCTTATGAAATCTTGAATGTTTCAGTTGAAACAGATGTTTCTATCTCAAGATAAAACATTTACAAGAAATATTAAATTCTTAGCAAATCTTTAAAATACTCCATTTGTAGGCATTCGATATGTTAAGATGAGATCATCGATTGGAGCTAAAGCTTTCAAAATGTTCTATAGACCGTAAAAATCTAGTATTGTGGAATTTTTTTTGGCGGAAATTCCTTATTACTCTTATGTTTTAGTAACTTTCTGCAATGAAATGAAAATTCAGTAAAATGAACATAACTTGAGAATGATTGCTGATTGCACCAATCCTTTTAGGATTTTTAATTAAACCATGAGTCATATCTATTGGCAAATTATTAGCTCAAACGAAGGATATCAGTCAATTGGGTTCTCACATGGAACACATAAAATTCCGTCGATTGGAAAATGCATATATTACTTCTACCGCTCTTGATTCACGTAATACGTTAAATTAAACAATAGTAGTAAACATCATAAATAGGAACTCATTTTTACAGAAACCATGTGTTTCTTCTCAAAATTAACGGAAACAAAAAGCTACTAAACGACAGATAATGTCGAGCGTCAACATAAACAGGAGCTGTGTTCGTCGACTTGGCTACTAGTGATCAAGGTCAAGAAAGGATTCTTCAATAGAAATGTGTTTCAACATCTGATTGTTTCAAAAACTGATCGCAAATAGACAATGACAGTTTAAGGGAAAATAAACAAAAATTAAAAACATCTTCTATGAAATGGTCATCAAGAAAAAAATAGAGTATTTGTGAGATATAATTCATCATAACTATCTTTCAGTTCCGTCGAATTATATCTCTTTTATTTGATCTGGTAAAAGAGAGTTGACATTTTGTATTTGCTTGTTCGAATGTTTTAGCTAATTCTTACATTTCTGTTTTCCATGAAAACATGCCTAAACAAAATTCAACTGTAATTGTCGGCAAATACCAGAAAAGAGAAAAAATTTACTCTTTCATTATAAATAAATCTTTATTATTAATCATATTTTCTTCAAACTTAACACGCAAATTATAATCATCGATTACATCTACAAGAAGAATATAATATGCTTGAGAATTATTTTTAAAATGTTTTTGTGTTTCATAATCACTACGATACTAAGCAGTTTCGCACTTCAAACGTATTCCTTTAATTATATAATGAACAATCTGTTTCGTGTTAAAAGTATCATCTTCAATAATTTTTCTTTTTAAATAATCTATGATTTGATTTAATGGCTAGAAAACATAGATAAGATTAATCATTCATTCCGTAATTTCTATATTAATACAGGCTTGAAACTCTTCAACAGAAGACTTTTCGTGCAGATCAAGCTTAAGTAAAGAATTGATTCAAAATAGAATCACTTTCACTCATGGTTTACTGATTATCTGAAAATGAGAGAAGACACAAGCATTTATTCTAACTGCGTGCACGAATCTAGAAGAATTGCTAAATGAATAGAACGGTCGAACACAAAACGAGTAGAATTAAACAAAGATAATACATTGGTACTATTGGTTGAGATAATCTATATACACTTTGACATACATACAATTTTTTTCCATTACATTAAAATGAAATTAAGCCTTTAGAGAAAATTAAAGAACGTTTCCTATTAATGAATGTACTTGATTTTCGTTGGTCAATTTAGATTGTATCGAATTATGTTTTGATGGTAGGTATTTTTAATGATGTCAATACGATATATAAAAAAAATATCCAATGAAAGAAGAGATCTTTGCAAACGTGATAATTATATAAATATAATAGGTGAGAAAAATTCTGTTGATGATAGAGAAAACGCGCTGCACTTTCCAATAGTTCAAAACTAAATTAACACAGCAACAAATGTTTTTTTAATTTCGCTTTTCTTTACTTCTTTGTATATAAATTTCAGATATTAAAATCATTTTTCGCTAAAATTTAGCAACAATGATAAAAATCATCATTATTTGTTGAATTTATCATATTTTATTCCATATCTAAATATGCACGATCAATTAAATCAATAGAATGGCAACTTTTCTTATTTCTTTGCTTGGTGCTTTCGGTGTTGTCATAATCATTATTCTACTTGGTCTTGTTCTGGCACAAATATTTATCAATAGAGCCAATAAAATTCAAGCACACACAAACATTATATTTGATCAACCACAAAGTTTAATTATTGATATTGATGAATTACCTGAAGCTCAACAGGAACCAGGCATAACTGTCATATCGAATGATGTAATTGAAGGTATATCTTATCGTCATCATCATTTAACAAAAAAAACTCTATCAGTCATTGACCAAGATGTTCAAATCAATCATAAGAATGATAAAAAAACAACAATCGAACAAATATATGCTGAAAAAGATCTAACGATACCAACTAGAACTGATAGTGGTGCTATATCATCAGATATAAGTATCATAAATCCACTTACAAATAAGATTACACTGGAATATTAAAATATCCGAAAGATTCAACTGAACGTCAGAAAGTAGCACTGAAAAGTGTCCTTTTTCCTCTATATCAGTTAAACAATGAAAAGAAAACTATTAACATCATTATTCATAAGTTTACTTAATTAGAATGAAGATTTGATAGTTTTAGAAAATACCTAATACTAACCATTTTTAATGAATACATGATTTATTTCATGGAAAAATAAACACACCTGTTGTTATCAAGCAATCATACAATCAAAAAGACTAATACATACATATGAAAGTCATGATGGCTACAACTAAAAGATTCTAGATTTTACATATGAAAAAGAAATGTGCGAGACTATTTATTGAGTATGAAAAAGTTGCTTGGATACCTTCGAAAGAATTGTCATGTAAAAAAAAAAAATGCCAGTAAAAATAGCTAATATATTAAAGTTTTTGTATCGATATTTGAGCTTTTAATGCTCTGCGTTCACGCTAGAAAGAAAGAAAAAAGAATATAAAAATCCAATAATCTATTATTAAATGTATTTTTGTTTACTTCAAGTCTTAAAGCTTGATGAGATTCATAGAGATGTTTATCTTTAGCAATTTGAACTTCCTGTGGTGTGCTCGGGATAGCAAAACCAATAGCAAATTTCAATGCTAAAAGAATATGCTATAATAAAAACGAAAACAAATATTTATAAGAGAAAAAAGACACATAAAATGGTTATACTTCAGCAGCAACAAAAATTAGAAAATATTCAGCATCGCTATATGATGAAAAATATTCACGAACTGATGGTTGCAGTGCAATTAAAGCTGTATTAGTAACAATGGCGACTGAACTTAGTATATCAAATGCGTAAAGCCAACTGCCTATAAATACATATTAAAAGAATTTTAATGATAGGACAAATTCACTAACCAATATTCCAAGCACGTTGAGCGAATGGACGTTGATAGACATGACAATATTTAAAAGCATCAGCGCGAAGTTCAAATATATTGCTAATTAATGCACAAATTGTGATCCATGGAAAAACCTAGTGAAAACATAACAGATAACTAAGAGTATATTTAATGTGTAAGTTTAATATCAAGACTATTTAGAAATTATGAAAAAATGAACAATTATTTTCTGTGTGATCAGATTTAAGACAATCTCTTTCGTAAATAGAATTTTTTTCATTCTCGAAAATTCATCGGACGAAATCCCCATGAAATTCAAAATGTGAAATATAATAAACTCACGTCTATTATTAACAAACATCTTTAAACAAGCTTTATTACAATGTCAATAAATCTCTTATCCTAACGGCGACAAACATTCTTGTTAGTGACGTAACTAGACAAAGGTTAGAAGGGCTCAGCTACCCCTATCAACGGCTGAGTTCCACTTAAAAAGAAGGCTTGAGCCTTGAATTTAGGGTTGATCAGAGAGTCTCCACCTACTCTCTAGAAACTTGGTCAAGGAGCTGAGCTCTTTCTACAATTTTCTTTTTGTTGACGCTACTAATTTCTATATATTATGATCTTTGAATTCAAAGAGAATCGAATACGTAGACTATAAGGCTCATAAATAATCTCACACCATTCTTTTAGACTTACTGCTGAAAATAAAGCAACATAACCATATTGTTCAAAGATAGTCAAATAATCTCCATATGTTCCCTTGAAAAAAAAATGCAAACATAATTCAAAAGATCATCTGAAACATATATTTTTTTATTACTTCAAACGGAGTTAATGTTTTTGCTTGTTTCACTGCATCACTAACTTGACTACTTTGTGATTTTCCATCAAGTAATTGATTCTTTTTAACACGTTTAAGTACATACGGACCAATTTGTTCAGTAAATTTTAAGAAGATAGCATTAATAATAACCAATGATATAAGTAACTAAAAGCAAAAAATATATTCGAATATTTCAAAAATAAATGAATTTATTTCATTACTTGTACTACATTTCCATAGTTAACATTAAAAAATGCTTCATAAAAAAGTCCAATAAAGCAATTCATAACATAAAAAACGAATAATTTCGATGTTAAATTATTTTCATAACCTGTTTGAAGACGATGATTTTCTAAAATAAAAAAAAATATGTTTCTTATTTCTTATTTCATCTTTTGTCTTTTACCAAAATCAGTCAGATATGTAGCGATTTTTTTATAAATTAAATTCATTGGAATAATAAGTAAGGAATAACCAGCTGATGGCATTGTACGCATCAATTTAGTGTGAATAGAAAATAAAGAACCATCTAATGGATAATTATGATCTGTTTTTATTTGTATTCGATAATAAGCAAAATAAATCCATAATGATAAAGCTAAACAGCACATTACTACTGGATAAGTAACTAAATATTTTTTTAACAGTCGTTTCCATCTAAACCATAAATGAATTAAGAAGATTAAGATTACAAATGTATTGGGTTACCGTACCCTATCCTGCAAGCTAGGATAGAGCAAGGACTAGAAATCTTTTTCCGATCAAAATACAGGATACGAAAGAAAGCTTACTTTACCCATCTCTATCGTTATACTATTTATCGCTTTTAGAGTCTTTCAATTAGGGTAGTATTAAAGGAGAGTGAGATAAGAATTTCGTAGGATAAGGTAAGAGTACTTAGTCAGACAAGGACCCAAAGGTAACTCATTAAAATATACGTTTTGCACTGAAGAAAACGATGAAAAAAAGATTTTAATTTTTTTAAAAAGAAAATTTATGGGTTACGTTGTCTACAGACTCGTTTGTTCCTAAAAAATGAATTTTTTTTGAAAGTATAAAAAGCGCACAGTGTAAATCGTAAAAGCACGATTGTTATCAATCTTTTCTGACTGAGTAGATGTTCTATAAGGTAGTGTAAGAGTAAGAATGAGAAACTTTCTCTCGTCAGAATATAGAGTACGAAATAGGCATACTCTGCAATCCCTAATTGTTATGGAATTTGTATAGGTTTTTTCTTACCTTGGATATACTCGTTCTGCTTGATTTGTTATTGGTGAACGTTGTAAATCTCCATAATAGAATGGACGAGGACGTTCATAAATTTTTAAATCAAATGAACCCCATTGATAAGCAAGTTTACTACTTAAACGCTTCCATTTTTCCATCTAGATTCATATAAAACAAGTTCAATGAGATAATTTAAGATAATTACTTACGAATATACTCCACCAAATGACATTAAAAATGCAAAATAATGAATATTTAAAAAAATCCCAACCAGGCCAAATACTAACAAAAAAACCTTGAAGAGAAAAACACGAATTAAATATAATCTAAGCCAAGAAAAAATGAATTTACCAAGTATAGCTGTAGGTATGAGTGCTTTTGTATAAAACTCAAGAAATGCAAAATAATATGCAACATTTTCACCGAAATAATTTCGAACTTTATCTATAAAAAAAAATCATATTAATAATTCACATGAAATTGTTAAACACAATTCTCTTACGAATATCTTGTGGTTTTAAAAATGAATATGTTGCCTTAAACCAATCACGTTCAATTAATTTCATATCTTCTTTATCATGTAATGGAAAAACACTAATAACAAAATCAAGATTACGGAGAAGACCAACTAATAAAACAATGATGCTAATTTTATTTTTCAATTAGTTTTACATACGAATTGTATCACTAGTAGGTGTTACTGATTTGGTAGGAACACCCGGTATAGTATGTTCATGTTGCATTGGACGTACATTTTGTATTTCATCCCAAATAACGAGTTGTTTTTCAGATTTAAGTAGAAAACTGTCTGGACTTCCTAATAAATTAAAATATTTTATTTTTAAAAAAAGAACAAAAATAAATATTTGTACCAGAATGATCAAAATTATCAATATCAGAAATAAGAAAATCACGTAAAGTATCATTTTTATACGGTTTTTTAATTCGTAGTTCTTCAGCACCAAGTAATAAACGATTTAGTGTTGCACCGATTAAGAGAATATTATTCTAATAGATGATAAAGAAAATTAAGATGAAAAGAAAATAAGTACTTACATGACTTTCAGGATCAGTATCATATCGAACAAGTAAATCGGCACCATCATCTTCATCTTGTCTTGCAGTTAATCGTTTAATCACCCAGTTTTTAGTTTCATCTGGTGTTGTAGGAGAAAAATGAAGAACAACAAGCGGTTCAAAGTTCGAATTTTCGTACGATGTCATATGATTACAAATTTAACAAATCTAAATACTCATATTAAAAATCTTAGATAAAGTTAAACTTTCAAGAAATAAATTAAATTTAGTTCACTAATTTAAAGACAATTTGATTTACGAAATAGAAAGCATGTTATAAACATCGACAGATCGATTGTCAATGTAAAATATTATAAATGGTTTTATAATGGAAACTAAAAGATCTCACGTAACTCAAACTGAACAAAAAAAAATGCGTCGGCAGATCATTCGGTATATAATGTGCGCTATACAGGCAGAAGTTTGATACTTTCTCGGTCGTCTATGTTTAAACCATCATTCTATCGCAATATTTCAGCGGTGGTGCGAACACACATGTGTAGCATGAGATAAGAACTATCAATACTAGGATATATAAACAACATCTCGCTCAGACAAAATAGCAACTATGTATATTCGTATCTTAGAAACTTAATTTAAATGTTTTCTTCTCTTGTGAATGTGAGAAAACAATAGATCCGTGTAATATAAAAACATGACAGAAATTAATTTCGGTGGCAGATTTGTTATGTCTGATTAAAAGGTCAAATAAACAGATGCAGTCATGTGTCGAATTACTTTTTTAATAAAGACACTGATATCTACTTTTACATGGACTCTGACTCTGATCCCCTATTATTGACATTTCAAGGATTTACATTCAATTGATATATATATAAATATGTTAAATTTGATTCGGCTTTCAAAAAATCTCGTTTATTTACTCTTCTTTGACTCGCTCAGTCAGTCAAGCATCACAATAATTCCTGAAATGACTCATTTCTATATCTAATTAGTTGAATATTCTCCAATCGAAAGAGACCATGAATTTCTAAAAAAATTTGTTTAAAACTAAATGAGAAAATAAATTTATTAATAGAATTTGTTTGTTATAAAAATCAATTATTTTCATAATTTCTTCAATTAAATGAGATCGGATAGACAATCAATCCATAGTTTACCTTCAATCGAATATTTCTCACATAAACAGTTTCCATTTTTTTTGTATACGATTGTATCATCGTATTTAATTTTTTTGTTAAAAATGTGCATTTTGATGTTCATTTATATTGGATAAACTGATGTAACTTATTGTGAGAACAATATTTCTTTGATTGATGCAGAATTTGTTTATTTGTATTTTAAATCAGTCCAATGATGATAACCGACGATTGAAGAGCATTTAAAACGTGAGATGAACGAACAACTACTTAATCTTTCTTATTTCTTTCAAAACAAAAACAAGAAACACGTTTTTTGTTTTAAATTTAAGCAGCAGTTCGTTCATCTTATGTATGTGGGTTCTAATGATATCGATTATGAGATCTGAGGACTTGATTTAATCATATTTATTTTATGAATCAATGAAAAAAATATTTTGTTTTCGTTAATAGATCGACATCAATACAGTCGAAAAATAAATAATGAAACACAACAACGTTATTCCAAATGCACATTTTCATAAAAAGTGGCAATTACATGTTCGTACATGGTTCGATCAAGCAGGTCGTAAAACTCGACGACACCAAAAACGTTTAGTTAAAGCTCAACGTGTTGCTCCTCGACCAACTAAAGGTTCATTACGTCCTATTGTTCATGGTACAACACGTCGTTACAATATGAAAGTTCGTGCTGGACGTGGCTTTTCATTGGATGAACTACGTGCTGCTGGTCTTCATCCAAAGTATGCTCGAACCATTGGTATTTCTGTTGATCATCGACGACGTAATAAATCCACTGAAGCTTTTCAAGTAATTTCAACTATGAAAATATTCATTTAATTTAATTTTTGTTTTCTAGCTCAATGTTCAACGTCTAAAACAATATCTTGGCAAACTTATTTTGTTTCCATTAAAAGCTGATAAACCTAAAAAGAACGATGCTAAACAAGAAGAAATTAAATTGGCTGTACAGCTCAAAACACGCGTCATGCCAACTAAAAAAATAGTCAAACGTGAAAAGGCTCGACCAATTAATGATTCTGATACTAAATTTCAAGCTTTTCAAGCTTTACGTATGGCTCGTGCTGATGCACGATTAGTTGGACAACGTGAAAAGAAAGCTAAACAAGCAGCTGAAGATGAAAAGAAACCCAAGAAAGAGAAATAAATATTTTCATTTGTTTTTGTATCCTCCTATTTGGGTTAATAAGAATTAAAATAAAACGAGAACAACAGTCAACCGACAAAATCTATGTCGGTATATAAAATAAAAATATTTATTAAATTCTTTTTATTTAATCGAAGAAATAAAAAGATTATTTCTAATATAGATAAACATTTTTTTTGTATAAGGTTAAAAATTTCATATTAGAAAAAAGAAATATTATTTCTCTAACAATAGACTTAGCTCTCAATCTATAGATACTCCACAAATCAAATTACTACGTAAGTTAGTTATATTTTGAACAGCATATATAACTTACTTCTATATTAAACTTATCACTATTCTATAGAGAAAATACTGACTTGTTTCAAAGTTACGTTTTGACTTATTCTTTACTATAGTATAACCTTTCTATAGTGAAAACTCTCCGGACTTCGGGAAAATATTCATCATAGAACAATATAATGGTGTCCATTATAGAAAGATTCATTTGCAGCAAAAAAGTGATAGCTGAAACTTTTAAAATTCTCCATATTATGAACGTGTTCACTAGGGAAGGTTTCACTGTATTATATACTTATTGAATATGATATGTGTCTCATTCGACGTGTTATTTAACTTTACAGCGAAACAATAAATACTGAATTATTAATGCGATGCGAAGTGCAGCATTTATGTAGTCATTCGCGAGTTTTTAATGCGGTGCAAAGCACAGCATTTATCTTTATTTCTAGCTAGACATACGCATCAAATTTGTAATTTTGTGTCGCAATGATCTTGAGAACCAAAAGTCAGAAAATCTTCGTTCAAGCGCGGGATGAAACTGCGGAGATCGAACCTACATCTCCTTTTTTCCAATTTTCGTTATGACGTCCCGTAACGGGATGCAACGGTGACGATTAGTCACCGCTTGATCGTAGCAATCGGTAACCGCTTCAGCGGAAACCGCTCCACCGGTAACCGGTGTGAACCGGTAACCGTTTCACCGGTAACCGGTGTAAACCGGTAACCGTTCCACCGGTAACCGTTCAACCGGTAACCGGTGTGAACCGGTAACCGGTATGAACCGGTAAGCGGTATGANTAAGTCCAATTTCAAGGAAGTTATCCTTTCTATTGTTACACTAGGCTTTGACCAATTTCATGATGCACCTATGAGCAAGAGCAGATAAGACAGCATCAGAGAACTTATTTCCATATATCCTGTTCTTTTTGTAAGAGTTTAGAAACAGTTTCAGCAAGTTAAAAGATGGTTTAGACAGTTTTGGAGCTTCTTAATATTAATCGCGCAGGTTTCTATCTTCATATTTTGTTATAACATATTCCGTACGATTTTTGTCGAGAGTTTCACAATACTTCTTTAAACGAAAAAAAATAACTATTGAGATTATATTTGTAAATTCACATAAACAATTAATCATTTCTTCTAGACCATCCATCACAATGTTAATATTTTGTGACTCACTAGACCATGTTTCTTTTTGTGATAAAATATCTGAAAGACAAAAAACCAACAATGTCGTGAATCAAATTATTAAATTTTCGCTGCATGCAAAAGGAAAAGTTGATAGACATGAACGTTTTTTCTTCTATTTAAAGTTTTAACATCTAAACAAGAAATTGAGTAATCGGACAAACATATATGTTCGATTTCTTATAATGGAAAACACTTTTAGTTCTATGTATTGATGTCGCACAACAAAGAATGAAAATTTTATTTTAAATTTGATGAATATAAAGAATGAATCGAAAGTTTGCAGACAAAATATTTCTCTAGTTTTCACGTATTTAAATACAATTGAAAACAGTAAAGTAGAATCAAAATGTTGTACTCTTTCAGAATATATGCTTAGAATTTTTCTTTGACTTTTGACTATTGATCTATAAGTAAGCCTTGACAGAACTCAAAAAAAAAAAAATTTTTTTGAAAAAGCAAAAATCTTATTTTTTCAAAGACAAATCTGCTTCTTGTAAACATCGAATAAAATCCGTAAATATATAGTAATTGAAGATGATCTCTATTCTACAGAATGATACACGAATGAAGAGTTTTGGTTAATCCTCTCAATGAATTGAAGAAGCTGTGACTGAAGATCATTTTATACTGAAAAGGTGGCGATCGGAAAAATATTCATTTTTCTTGCGATAGACTTTATAAGAGCCTTTATTGTACTTCAAGAGTTTGTAAAAAAATTTATTCAACTATTCTGCTTTGTAGACAATTACTTTCTGTATCTTTCAATATATTCGACAAAGTTTTATGGCATGCTTCGAACAAGTTACATTTGAGGTTTTTTTCTCAAAAAAAAAATTGAATTTGTTTAAGCTTCACTTATAGTTAAATTGTCTAAATAAGAGTCCGTCGGATCCACGACCAATTCGATAGGCTCTAGTTAAAAGTTACAGCAAAATTCTAAGCATATATTCTGGAAGACCATAGTATTTGGATTCTAATTTTCTCTTTTTCAATGCATTTAAATACACGAAAAATGACCAAAAATATTTTGTCTAGAAACTTTCGACTCATCTCTTATGTCAATTCTTATTAATTTACATAGCAGAAAAACTACACTGTTTCAAAGAGAAGATTTACAAAAGTTATTCAAATTTATCAATATATGATTTGATCGAAATTAATGGTTGTGCATTTGAATCAAGAAATGGATTACCAAGAACGAATTGAGGAGAAGTTTTTGTTGAAATCGATAATGAATTTAAAAATGCTATTTTTTCTTGTTCTTTTTTTGTCGATAATAATGATATCGATGATTTGAGAGAATTTTCAGAATAAGACAGATTATAAAGATTTTCTTGTTGTAATTTTAATTTTTCAACATTCTTTATTATTTGTTCAGAACTTCTTTGACGATCGTAATATGGTGAAAAGTCAATTGTTTCTCGATTTGTTACAATTTGTTTTATTTCATCAATAACTTCTTCATCATTTTGTGAAATTTTTTTTTTTCTAATTGTTGATTTTTTCTTTTCTTTTGAAAGTATTTTATACAGAGAATAAATATTAAAATAAATATTCCAATAACCACACACGCAATTACAATCGGAATCCATACAGTATCTTTTTGAACATTTAAATAAATAATACTCTTATCTTCATAAGTTATATCAAGTAATTTATTTGTTGCATAACATCGATAATAACCATAATGATTTGTATAAGAAACATGATCAATAATTAATGTGTCATTAAGAATAAATTTATGATGAAAACGAATACCAATTGGTAAGGAATAAAATATATTTTTTGATATATCCTTAGTAAAATCCCAATGAATAACTACATAGAAGAATATCAATAAGAAAAAAGAATGTTTTATTATTTCTCTATTCTTCATACTTACTAACATTTGTTCCATATGTTAAACAATTAATAGTTACCATTTGTTTTGTATTCGTATTTATAATAAGAAATTCTTTCTGAGTTATTTCAGCAACTGAAAGTACTTCAAGTTGACTAAGTTTTTGTTCGCCATAATGATATTTTGAACGACATTCAATTTTTGAATGTAATTTTGAGTAATTAAATAGTGCAGGTATTGTTAAAATAATACTTTCATTATTTTTTATATTATCTTTACTATATTGTAATGACGAAATATTTTTATCAATATCTATCATTGCAGCAATAATTGTCAATGATAGAATAATACCTTGATCATTGCTAATACATTTGATATGTGATGTTTCTGATGTATTGAATGGATATGGTGAAGCAATTATAATTGGATCATCAGCAATAGAAAAATCGATTGACAAGAAACCAATTAGAAATATATTGAACATATAGAGAAATTTCTTTAACGTAATTCATTTGATTCCTCTCGCGCCTTGATTTAAACAATCGGCTGATTATCAAATTCTTTTGAAGATAAACAAAGTAAATATATATTGAATATTAATACGATATTAAATGGAACTTTGATGTAGACCGATACTAATTTTCTATTGGGATTTCAGCCTTTGATAAGATAATATAAAAAAAAAAAAAACAATTAAATTAGGTTATTTCGAGCGAAAATTTTCCCTATAGAAAATGTTTCACGGGTTTTAGAATATGTTATTTTTTGTCACATATCTTTATGTAAGCTGATATTATAATAAAGTAGACATAACTCCAGTTGGATTTGTACTATTTTTGTTACAAAAAAAAAACAACTTGTCTTTCTATTTGCATAAATATATTCAATATAATTTTGTATTAAAAGAAAAATTTTCTTTTTTCCCCATTGATTAAATTACTTTCATAATGAATAAGAACATCACTTAAAAAAAGTTTATTATGCGAACTTCTTTTATTATCATTTCCATCTGTCACATAGTATCGTTTCTTCATTTATAACGCAATTCTCAAATGAAAATAAAAGAGAGCTATTACTTATGCAAATTAATCGAGACAACTCTTATCTATTTAATCATGTTTGCTTTTTCTTTTCCCTGATGATTAAATAATAAATTCCATTTATACAAAAATGGGTTTCAATAGCATATAGTTGTGAAAATATTTCAAATTCAATAAAGAATTGACAGTAAAAATCAAAGAAGATCATATTCATTCTATATAATCCTGATTTCTCTATTGATAAGCTTATCGTCTACAACAAAAATCAGGTCGTCGATATTTGAGATTTCTTTAAAAGGTCAATCAAACAATGTTGTTTAATTCACCACTCCTAGTTTAATAAACGAATGCATGTATATATATATATGTTTACTTATGGGTTATATAGTAAAAAAAGCCCCGTAGATATTGAACATGAAAGTAGGCAACACAATACTTATAAGAGACACGTATAAACACATACAAATACATATATTAGCATACATAAAAACGAACAAAAAAGACAAAGACAACAATGAATATTAGAAGAAAAAAAACTCTGTTCTCGTCCTTTGTTTTCTAACTGCTAAGAGCTCCATCATCGACCAGCACCGAATAAGTATATAATGAATCTCGATCATGTTCATCAACTTTAGTTATATGATTAAATTCTGTTGGTTTTGAAATAGCTGATTTTTTTATTCTTCGTTTACGTAGAATAAAACCTGGTGCACGTCGTTTTGCATTAAATATGTCAAATAAATCAGCATTACGTGGATCACATGATAATTTAACAAAATATTGATGAAATTCATCGGTTGCACTTGTATCCTCAAATTTCAATGCAAGTACCGTACCTGTTTCAAGCGATTTTAATGTTATGTGACGTGCCTTTGGTAGGCGTACATCAGATGCGCCATTAACTATTGTATCCCAAAGTGTAAAACTTGAACCAAGTTCTGATATTATTAAACGAATATTACGAGATCTTAAAAACAAAAAAATTGTGTGTTCAACGAAATAAAGAATTTTGTTTATTTACCTTTTCGGATTCATGCCTGTATTGAAAAGCCATATAGGTACACCTACATAAAGTTTCTTCCAATCTTTTAAATTGGCCATAGCATCAAAATCTGATGTATAAAGTGTAGCAACACTACGACCAACATACACAAGGGTACCAATGCTTCGATAAAATGATGCTATTTTTAAAACATCTCGTTCATTTAAACGAATTGATGATGGAAATTGATTTGTTTGTTGACTTCGAATTGAATCAAATGGTCTAATTTAAATTAAAAATGAAAATTTTTATATCTTCGAAATAATTTTTAACATTTTTTTTTTTACCTATTAATTGATGGTATTGAACCAAATGGACGTGATTTTGTCAATGATTGTTGTTGTTGTTGTTGTTGTCGTTGAGGATGACGAAAACTAGATGAACGTATGACTTGTTCTGAATCACTAGGATAATGTTGAGGATCATAAAATGATTGAGGTATTGGTGCACGACATCGTCTTGTTGATGTTAATATAGGTATTGACCGTCCATCAGGTAATGATCGATATCCCCATGAACCAGGAATATCAACAAGATCAGTATGAGCAAAATCAAGTGATGTTAAACTCGATTCATCTGTTTCTCCTGTTTCCATACGAGTAGCTTTCGATCTTGGTGCCATTGGAGGTACAGTAGCTGAACGAACAATTGCTGGTTCAGTATTGGTCAATGGCACATGTTGTTGTTGTTGCTGTTGTTGTTGCTGTTCATCATATATTTGTTGAGAAAGATGATAATGTCGTGAAGTAGGTGAAACATATAGGTGATGAGGTGAGGCTATACGAAGAGAGAAGAAACAGATTCTTTATTACTACAATTAGGTCAAATAGAAAAAAGAATGATTATGAAACGACTGTTAGAAGAAAAAACAGAACACACATAGTATGTATATATATATCTAAGCATACAGCTAATGATTGACGGACGAATTATCTTATCGATGATGTAATATTGGATGAGGATAATCAGATACAAGAGAATAGAAAATTAATGGGAGGAGTTGTTACATGCATTCTATTAGAACTCAAACATGTGTTTCTATTGAACATCTACATGTCAAAATCAATGCTTTTTATTGTATTCTATTCTTACCTTGTGTTAAAGCAATGTTTGGCATTGATCGAATACTAGCTGATGGTTGATATTCATTCACAGGAATAAATTCATCATTCATGATCGATGTTTCTGGTGGACCTTCTTGGAAAAATTGTGGTGATTGTGTTGGATAAGATGCATTAACAAAATGAACATATGGTGATGGATTTGGTGTAGCTATTACACCAGCATGTTGATGTGTATTATCCATAATTGTTACTCCTGCTGTCGTTGTTCTAGTTGGTGAATGATTATTAGTTTGAACTTCAACACTTCGAACATTAGGTAATGATTGTTGTTTAATAGTAGTTGTTTTTTCTTGTTTTTTTATATTGGTTTTCTTTGTTATTGGTTTAGATGATGATTTCATTGTAGCATTTGTTATTGGTACAGGTGAATTAGATGCTGAAAGTTGAGCTGTTAATTGTTGTTCAGCTTCTTTTGGTACGATTAAAAATGTTGGTTTAAGAACATCAACAGGTCGATTAGTGTATTGTTGATGATGAGGTGATATTGGTTGAAAATTAGTATTTATTGATGAAAGTGGTTGTCGTGTATTATAATATGTATTTGTTTGTGCAGGTGAAATTGTTCCGTGAAAAAATGTGGGATAATCAGTATAATAATAATGTGAAGGAAGACTATTTCCAGCACCTTTTCTATATGTTGCGTATGCTGGATAGGGAACTGTATTCGAACGAGGAAAACGAGAATTGATTACAGTTTGTTGTTGTTGTTGTTGTTGTTCGTTGGTTCCATTCGTATGTAAATATTCTACATTTTCATTAATTGATTGTAAACCTGTTTTTGACTGTTGATTTTGTGGTGGTGGAGCTGAATGATGTTGTTGATGTGACGTACTAGAATTAGAAAGAGATGATAATGGAATATCGGATTGTGATAATTTTGTTTTCTTTGTAGCGGTTTTCTCCTTCTTCTTCGACGTTTGTTTTTTAGCTTTTGTAGCTTCTTCTGTAGTCGTAGTTTTTGCTTTTGACGACATGACACACGTGAAATATAAGTTGCACAAATAAATGTGATGGTGAAGTGAAGACAGAAGAGAAAATATTGCTTCTCTTGTTCTTTTTTTTTTGCTCTCTATTGATTCGAACACATGTCCTCACATATATGTTTTGCTTTCTTCTACTGTAGGCTTCGTTTTTTTTTTTTCATTTTACAGACTCGATTTATATATTCATGTAAGTATGTCTGCGGTAAGGGTGAGGAAAAGAAGAAATGAAAAAAAAAAAAGCTATTCAAATTGCATTCATATTTTCTTCCTTTTTTTTTTCTTTCGTATGTGTGAAACATATAACGGTGAGATATAAACAGAGATAAGAGCATTAATGATCATCATTGATGTCTTTTTCTTCTCGAACTGAGTTACCATGCTGAGAGTGTCAATAGAAGGTTTTATTTGTTTAATTCGACTATTCAACTAAAAACAACCTTTGACAAGGTGTCACTCATGTATTGAGATGATCGGAGATATATATTTAATTATTCAGAATAAATGACATTAGTCTATTGACACGTTTTCCCAGTAGGAAATCACTGTCTAATATGTTCTTTGCCTATTACCTGCTTGCTTGCATTTCTTAGACATCCATCGATGTATATCACTCGTATAACTACTGATATTTGGTATTTTTTCGTCGTTTTTCTATTGTCGATGCCAGTAAACAAGACAGAGAGCATCAATGGTGCACCAAAATAATGGCAAGCTGTTCTTTATCTAGCTTTTCTTGTTACTCGTCATCAAGAAAAACAACCACAAAAACACCCATGAGAATAGAGAGAGAGAAAAAAAAGACTGTATCACAACATCAGTAAAGCTATTGTACATTTGTTCGCGATATGTATGCCTAGAGAAAACAAGCAGGAATATTCAGTAAAAACGAAGAAAACATATGAATCAGTTCTGACAAGATAATGAAGATTAATAAGCAAACAACAGTCGATGTTGTTCACTTATCGATTAACTGTATGTCAGATATAAAATCATTCTTTTTTTTTTTTGTTGACACTTACTCAAAACAAGATCCTGTGCTTTTAGAAGAAAAACGATTTGTTTATGATACAGTCATAGGAATCATAATTAGAGCAATGATATGATGTCTTTTTTTTTTCTCATATCCATCAACTTCATCTCTAATGGAATGCCAAGGCTATGTGCACATATATATATCAGGTTGTTGACATCCAAATGATGATGATGATCAAGGTCACATGAATATATAGATAGATCGATATATCATTCTATTTAAAACAGAAGGACATTATTTTCTCAATAAAAAAAAGATCTCTAAGGAATTAGCATGCTGTCAGATTTTATCCAACTAGATCCATAGATAATGTCTAAATAAGAACGCACAATGAATTATTATGGAAGGTTAAATCAGAAAAACAAATAAGTAATTTTTCCATTTTGTAGTTTTTTCCCTCGTCTATTATCATACAGCTGCTGTCAAATACCATCACGACAATATGCAAACGATTTTTTTTTTATGGCCCATTTTTTTTTCGTTATTGTTTAATAGGTTCGAGCCATAGAGAATATAGATAGTATTCTAGGCCGCAGAATATAAAAATAAAAACGAAAGATGAGAACTCATGATAAAAAAAAAAGCGTAGAAAATAGTGTTATTTTGTTTCTATTAATAAAATGTTGTAAATAGAATAAAAAATAAACTAACAAAAAGGTATACAATGTTCTCATCTAAAGGACATTAAAAGCGGTAATGCAAAAACAAAAAATATGCATCATTGGATGCTTAGATGTACAAAATGGTTTGGTTTTGTTTTGTTCTTGATCATAATATTGTCAAAAAAAATAAAAGTTTCGTTCTTTCTATGCTTGTAATTTAATACACCTATATGTATGTTAGTAATTTGCTATGTTATTCTCTTTCTGTGTATTTTTTTCTTCTCTATATATTTTTACTATATGACGATAAAAAATATTGATTATTGATAATGATGGTGGTAAAACCATTACAAATAAAAACTAGTAGGCAATACATAGGATTTGTTTAAAATAAATACATATGGAAAAAATACAATATTATAAATATTTTTACTAGTTTTTGTTCTTACCTGTCAACGAGTCTTGCAAACATGGCCGAAAAAAGAAGGAGAAAAATATTTTAGATAAAGTTTCTCATAGTTTATAACGATTTTCTTGGCTGTGATGATCAGGATAAATAGATCAGTGAGCAATTGCAAAGAATTATACATGGTTTTCTTCGATCAATTTGATAACAAAAAAAAATAAAGCGAGATAGAAAAAGAGAAAGAAAATGGAAACAATGCAGACTATACAGACGAACAAACAGTTATGCACATAATACTAATATAATTTGTTTCTGTTGCATTCCAAATGAATGGTTTTGTGATTTTCTCTGTTTATTTGATTTAAATCACGATTACTAATCGTTCATTTCAACGTACAAAATGTATACGATTGCCAGAAGTGCTTATATTTACATCATATGTCACTCTTAACTAAAATCTTCTGCCGTGTAGAACTTTTATTCTGCAGGCTGAATTTATCCTCTCTTTGACTGTTACAAACAGATGATGTAAACTAACAAGATAGTTTATTAGAATATGCATATATGATAGGCAATCACAATCTCTATTTTCTACTGTTACACGCATGCATATATATATATATATGCATATACACAAGAGATGGTACCTGTACTAAGTCTTTTTTCTCTTGAGTCTCTAAGCAATATCTTTTCATCTTTTCATCTTTGCATGTTACATGCATAGGTTAGACCGACGAGTATGTGTATTTGATTACAACATTATTCAAGCACAAGATTTATCGAATGTCACACAACCAGCAACAACTGTTTCCGGTCATCCATCAACAAGCGAAAAGGAAAAGGAAAAAGGAGACATTTTCTTTACAAGTATGTATAATATTACTAAAAGTAACGATGACAGATTCTCTCGACACATTTACCGTTGCAATCATGGATGAAGAAAGCGGACCCACTATGTATGTATGTATGTATACATATCTATATATCTAAATATAAGAGGTTCATGACAACTTGTGACAGGCAGAAAAAAACTTTTTCTTTCTTATTCATGCAACGTATGACATTTAGTGTGTATTCCCGTGACAGTAAGGCTATTTCTCGTAGCTAACGAACTAATTCACTCTCGCTTCAGAAGATACGAGTAACCGTCAATGATGTCTCAGACTGTATCTATTATAAGTTCGTTCTTATTCTTGGTTTGTTTGCATGAGCACTGACCCGCACAGACATATATTAAAAAATCAGATACCATTATTACAAAGAAAAAAAAAAACATTAAAAAAACTATATATCTTACATTCGGTCGACAATTTGATCACATATATGAATTGTATTTCGATGAAAAAGACTTCGACGAGAATGATGTTGTTTAGAAGATACTGATTCTGGCGCTATCGGAGGAATTTGCATTTTAATAGAATTTTTTTCTACTTTTTCTACTAATGAAGCTGACAGCGTTTGTGTCGGAGGTGGAGGAGGTTCTATTGTTGCTCTGGGTTGTGTAATCGGCTTTGTAGTTTCTATCGGAGTGGAAATTTCAATGTCATCGTCGACTTCAGGAACCGCAAACATCTTCCTTGATAGCCGTTATTTTATTCAAAATGATATGATTCTATTCACACGGCTAATTTTTTTTTTCTTTATCTTCTTTCTCTCTGTTCTCTCGATCTCTCCTTTTTAACTTAACAAAGCATTTCCCTAAGGCATCTAACCGCAGTACTGATGATGATGAGAAGTACATGTTAGAAACGAGAAGATGGTCGCAGCCATCTAAAACTACGTTCTTTCTTTCTTTTTTTTTTTTTTTTTTGATTCTCTTTTTAATGTTGCCAATAAGATAGACAGAGACAGAGAGAGAGCATGCGACGTATAACTGAGTCCCTCTTATGCATTGCGCATGCACGTTCTGATTAAGCGAGTCTAATTTGCGGTTGTCGCGAGCTGTGACGATACTTGGGTACGGCGACACATAAGGAGAGAAGAAGAAGGGAAAACGAGGCGATGAGAGAAATGAAGGGAGAACGCTTCAGGGCACTAATAGAAGGGATTTCTAATGAATTCTTTCTTTTTTTCTTTTTTGAAATAAGATGACTGAAAGCAGTAACCAATTTAGTAAGCAAATAAATCCATAGGGGTGCTGGCAGGCAAACAGGCAAAACAAGGAAGTCATAATCAAAGTATATATATATGTTGAGTGGCATGCAAGTAACAATCTATCTAGTTGTTACTGCTCACAAGCAAATCAAATTAATATGAGAGCAAGTAAAACAGGAAAATCAGCAGGATATTTATTCAAGCATATGATTGGCATTACATTGAACTATTATGATTAAATATTTTTAGTCAATAGACTAAAACAACAAAAAATTACACATGAGAAAGAAAAAATATTTTTTTTGTCTTGTTATTATGAAGTTGATTTTATAAGAAAAATTGTTGAAATAATAAAAACGATAATTGAAAGTAAAATATACAATGCTAATATAATCAATGGTAGAGTTATGTAATTCCAAAATGACGGAGTATGATTACATCTTGTTGAATATATTGGTGGATGAATTGTCATTGGATCACAAGATTGAAATTCATCTTCAATTTCCAATTCTTCAACACATAAACATTCAAATGGTTCATCTTTTTTTCGACGTTCTGCTGAATTTTCATCAAGACATACAGATAATAAGGGACATAAACCACTTGCACATGTTTGACATATTGGTTTATTTTCATCATTATAAAATTCTTGTGAAGCTACAATAAACGTTGAAATAGTAGAACTACTTAATTTAATTTTTTTAAGTAAATCATGTGTGCATGGTTTATATCCATAAGGAGAATCATAAAGAAAATAAGTTAATTGTGATGACAATGGAATAAGGTAATGAAATGAAAATTCTGCTGTTGGGTGTGCGCCTTCACAATCAGCACAATGTGGAGTATGATAAAATCTCATTTGAATAGTAGCTTTTATAAAATAAGATATATATTGATTTATAAGAAGAACAATAATTTATTCGATAAATATAACTTACGACCTTGTAATATAAGTAAATATTTCAATGATTTAAATTGACGTAATTCAACACTTTGCCATATATTAACACCTTATATAAGAGAAAAACAAAATGTTCAAAGAATTATTTATGAAATTAAATTTATAAACATACCGCTAATAAGTAATGTTTGTATCTTAGATGCAACTATAGCTAGAGCAGGCACATCGAGTATATGTAAATAACTATAACTTGATGATTTAGTTATTTCTGGTTTATAACCACAAATAGCCAATTCTCTTAATGATTCACCAAAACGATTTAAAAAACATAAATCAAGTACACGATTTCTAATTTTTTTTTCTGGAAATTCTTGAACAAATATCATAACGACATTTATTTGATCGAGTGGATATTTTTCTAAATCAAGTGATAAATTGGGATCTTTAAGACCTAATTTACAAGTAAGTATTGATTCGTCTGAGTTGTGTAAACATTCAGTATGATATAAAGATGCTTCATCTGTACTTTGAAGAAATGATAATGTGTTGACCGGTTCTAAACATGGTCCATTAGTAAATGATGACGCTGTAACAATTGAATCACTAGGATATGAACGAACAAGATAAGGTGTATCAGATATACATAAAGGTATGAATATTGTTATTATGATTAATATCATATTCATGAAAAGCATCTCTTCAATATTAAATTAGGGACAAGTTATAGGAAAAAAAGAAAGATGCGCCAAAATATAAATCTATTGCACAATTATTATCCCGTTGTATTCGAAGAATTCTTAATTCATTATATTGATTTCTTATTGTGATATAACAAAACAAGTTTATATCTCGAAAAAAAATCTTAAAATATTAGATACATAAGATTAAAAGCATTGTTGTTCCTTATTGGCATCTTGCTATTTGAAGATATATTTAGTTTGTACGTGGCAATCATAGTAGAATGAAGTTATATAAATTTAACAATATAGAATTCTTATAATCTTCACTTTTACATATTGTACAGTTTATAATGACATTTTTAATTTCCAGTATTTATAAAATTTATTAAGTTTTTCAATAGTTTTCCTTCACTGAGCATACAAATCATTATAGAGAGTACTCTTCTTGTCATTTCTATGATTTTTCTAATAATTCTCTATTGATTTGAAAACGAAAAGTTATTTTGTTTCTTTTGACGAAGTACATAAACTTCAATCACTTTGCCTGATATTTTGAGTACAAATAGAGTTCAATTAACTCTAATGACAAACAGCAACTCGAGGTCGATATATCTTCATACAAAGAATTTATGATGAAAACAATGTTTTTTTACTTAGGACCGAAAAGAGAATTTTTTGACATGTTTTGTAATTTTCCACAATTTATATGTGTTAACCTTCATCTTCTTATTAACAAATAAAGATTTCCATGTCTATATTTTGTCACAGATAGATTATTTCAATCCGCTGTAATCTTGAAGTATGACGACGCCTCCTTTATCTGGAAAGGTCTCAACACTAATTACTTCTTCATTGATGGGTGCGCTCGTAAAATTTTAAGAAAAACCTCAATAAAAGCAAGACGTTCACGGAAGAAAATTTTAAGACAAATGGTAAAAATTAGACGGAGATATAGAACATTTTTTGACGATTCCCATCAAATCTCATGTGGAGATTATCGAAAAATAACGTCATAAATCAGATAAATTAAAATAGTCTCAGATGGAATTTTTATTAATGATAGAGGCAACACTGAACTATTGAATAACGAATCTAACATGATGAGATTTGTTTTCTTTGTTGAGATATCCGCATGTGAAGAAAACAACTATGATGATCTTTTGACTTCTCTGCATGAAGATCCATCAAATTCTGACTAGTTCTTGTAATCAAAGTTCAACATGCTCGATTGGTGATCAAATTATGATACTAACAGATTAAAGTTTAGGTCCTTTTTATCTTGTAGTGGAACTTTTTGAGACTACGGCAATATGATGAATTTTTCGTTCGACATAGTTGTATAATTATATTTATTTAGATGCAAATTTAGTCGTTATCTTGAGAAAACAAATAACGTCACTTATTATTACAATAAATAAGGGTAAAATAAAAATAACAATCAAACATCTATCAACATTAGATTTCAATACGGTTCATAAGCTTGAACTGTCATATCATGAGTGCAGTGAAGTTCAAATTCGACGATCATACTAAAACTTATGGTTATTATTATGTTAATTAGATCATGCATTATATTCGTATTGGAGACAAATCTCCTATGTAGTTTTTATGTATTCTAACGAAATATTTATAATGATATGATAGTCAGTTAGAATCATTTTATTTGTGTACGATTTTTCGTTTTTTACTATGCTAAGTGACGTGGACGAAAACGATCAATTTCACATAATTGGCATTTTGACTTCTGATAAATAACTAATACGATCGATTGATAGATTATATGCATCGTCGAACGTTGGAAAGTTTTAGACAAGCACATTGTTCCCCGGCTGAAATGCTAATATATATATATATACGTGTTTTAATTACTAAAAACAAAAATCTATAAAACAATAGCAATGGTGGAATTTTACAAGACATGTAAGATTTTTCTTCTATAGAATAAAGTGCTTCAATAAGTCCATGTGAATAATCAGTTACATAATCATTTAGAATTTATATGTAGTTCAGATAAAAGCATTACTACAACTTCAACTAGGAGCTATTATAGAATATTAGAGTTTATCCAAATTTCTATCATCTTTTTGTGTGCATCAATTCGTATTACCATTAATTAGTTAATACGCCTTGTATATGGCATTTTGTGATACCATCACTTGAGTAATAATGGATCTTAGTCAGTAATAGGTTTTATTGTATGTCTTATTTAATTAATACTTTCAGATTGAAGTAATCAGTTTTTGCATCCTGTTCTATTCTCAAAATATTTCTATATAATGTTGGTGCGGGTCTTAAAAGTACTGAATTAGAAAATTGAATCAGTCGAGAACGCAAATAGCTAGCGGCGATCCTTGTTCGTCGGCAATTGAGAGAGACATGAGAACGCCTTTTTGTACAATATTATATAGGACAAAATCATTTTTAAACCAATGATTTCTGAAAAAATATTCAAGAAAATGTATGAGAATGGTCTATCATTCCAGTGAAATTTTGATAACAAATAAGAAAATTGACTTAAAAATCAACAAAATTTCATAATATTTAAGCAGACAGATAAACAGTTTTATTTTGCTCAGTATTTGTATATGAGACATAATCATTGAAACTATTTCTTGAGCTATAGATCTCAAGTTCTTCTTCTATCTAAGAGATATATCAAAATGAAAATTTCATCGAACTGATAGACCATTTTCCTACATTTTTTTGAATGTTTTACGAAAATCATCGATTTAGAAACAATTTTATCTTACAGATTATTTAAGAAAAAGACGATCTTATATCTTTTCTTTGAATTGCTGAAAATCGTAGATCACTAGATGCTTGCATTTTTGACTTATTCGATTTTTAACTGAGTACCTTTAAGTTCTACGCAGACATTCGTTAATGTTTCTCTGTCTCACTTATTGGCATACAACCATATCTAATTTTCATTGTAGCATTTTGACTCTAGAAATTTTCTTTTTTTTTGTTTTTAATTCTTGTCTTTCTTTCTCAAGTATCTTGGGTATGTGTACGTGTACGAAAAAAAAAAAGAACCATGGGAAAATGGAGACATAATGCTGTACATTCATATCGAACACACGAAAAAAAAAGAAGAAAAGCAACATGTAGAACAAACAAAAAAGAAAAAAAAAAGTGTAATATGTGTATAATAAATGAAAAACAAAAGAAGAATCAATCAATTAAAGTTTAATCAGTATGCCCACTTCTACTACCACTGGTTTCATCGATAATTAAGGATGATTTATTTGATGATGAATCAATATTTGATTGATCTTTTTTTCGTAATGCTTCAACTGGTAATGAACGTTGAGAAAATTCATCAGATGGTGGTGCAGAAAATCCACTTGTTGTTGAAGAATATTTATCTGTATTATGATCATTTCGATATGAAGATGAACGACGATCAGGACTACGAGATGATCGTCGTGATGATAAATGATCATGACTATTACCTCGATTATTACCACGAGGAAAGAACCGAGATTGACCACTATTATTACCACCACCACCACCACCACGACCTATTCAATGATATGAATAATAAATTAGAAAGAGATAAAATAAAAACAAAGGCACCTCCTCTATTGAAACCACCTCGATTTCTATATCCTCCATCATTATTGTCTGATCGATTATTTCGATCATTATTATTGTAATAGCCTCGACCAGTAGTATTTCCACCACCTAAAAAATAAATTTTATTGATTTGTTCATATAAATTTATTTTAAATTCTAACCTCCTCCTCTTCCTCGATTGGAACCTCTTGACATGCCACTAGAATTCGTTCGATCATTATAATTATTTCGTCCACCACGATAACCTGAATAATTTCCGTTATTATCTTGTGTTTGTGTTTGTGTTAAATCTTCTCGTTCTTCAAAACGATTTGGTCGTCGTGGAAAAGGTGATTGTTTTTGATGTTCATCATTTTTCGTTGGTGTTGGTAAAAGTGGTGGTGGTTGTTGTTGTTGTTGTTGTTGTTGTTGTTGTTGCTGTTGTACTTGTATCATACTATTTCCAAATTGATGATGTTGAATACGTTTTGGTGATGGTGATTCACCAAATAATGGTGGTGGAAAACGTGTTGATGGTGCTGATGATGTTGAAAGATGAACTAAGTGTTCATCGGTTGATGATAAATGATGACGATGATGTTCATCAAAATGTGTTGATGGTATTGACGGTGATGGTCGTCGATGAGAATCATCACGAAATTGAATTAAAGTAGGACCTATGAAAAATAAAGTATAAAAGATACATTTTTTTTCTTTCAATTCAATGAAAAATAATAATATAGTTTAATTAAAAAGAATTAAAGAATAAGAAAACATGCAATCGGGAATAAAATGACAAAGAAATTCAATGTGCAGATAAATTCACTACAAGTGCTATTAATGTTTTACCCTCAAGAGTGTGAGCAAAAGTAGCAGTCGTTAATGGAGCTCCTGTCGCTACTGGTGTAGTAGCCACAAAGTGATGATGAGTTGGTACAGCAGTTGCATTTGTTAAAAGATGCAAACCGCCGCCTAGAGAGTGATATATATATATACATATAATGACACATTCTTGCTTAGATATAATTCTTTTTTCTCACAAAAAGACAAAATAATTTAAAAGCAAGTTAACAAGAAACAAAATCTATTGTATTATTATGAATTAATACATACCAGATGCAAGTGTTTGTGGATTAAGATCCTAAAAGAAATATTATTTTTCGTTTATTTGTTATTAAAAGTTTTTTTTTTTTCGTAATTACTTTTAATTCACCAGGATGATGTTGTAATTGTAAAGAAGATGGATGTTGAGCAGTTGCAACTACATGACCATAAGGCATCTGATGAACAATCTGACTATTAGAAAATACTCGTCCTATTTTCAATAAATAGAAAAATCTAGATGACATGATTTATTTTCTATAATTAAAATTAACCGGCAATATGTTGAACAACTTGTACAGGTTGTCCATGTGGATGTTGTTGTACTTGTATAATTTGTGCACCTGGTGGCATCATTTGAACAGGTAAACCAACACGTATTGAAGATTCATGTGATGGTGCCATTAGAATTGTTGGAGCTGGTCCTAAACGATTTGATGCTTCTAAATGAACAGTTGTTGGTCGAGGTGGAAGATTTGCTGGTGGTGGAAATTCTTGAGGTACAAATGATGCTTGTGGATGAACAAGTGGTTGTGTTGGTTGTTGATGAATCATTGGAGGAACCTCAACACGCATTGGTGGAATAGTAGCTACAACAAACAAACAAAATTCCATTAATTAAAAATATTTAAAAAAAAAAAAAAACTGAAAGAAAATAAGACAAACATTTTAAGAATAATGGTATTGATTCTTCATCAATAGTTCCACCTTCAGCTAATGCTGTTAAATTAGGAATATCTTTTAGTTCAGAATAGGGGATATAAGTACAGCCATGATCAGCATCCCAACATTCTTTAAAACGATCTTTTAAACCTTTATTTGTTGCCCACGCAATCTTAAAAACAAAAGAGACAAGAAAAAAAATTATATAAGAAAATATAATTGTATTTTATCTTACTCTAATTGTATTTCCATGAAAATGAAAATCTTTCATTTTTTCTAAACATCTTGATGCATCGGAACGTTCTTTAAAACAAACAAATGCACAACCACGTGGAGGAATATGCTATTCAATAAAATAATAAATAAAAGTTTTTGTAATAATTTATATCTAATTAATGGATATTGCAAAAGTTCTTCGACAAATGTTCTTTCACCTACAAAGACAGGCTTCTGACTGTATGTTCAAAAATTTTTAATTCTGTATTACCTTTGAGTAAAAAGTACATGTTTGAACGATATTACAATGTAGCTTATGAAGAAAAAAAATTCGTAATTTAACCTTTCCTTCTCTCGTACTTGTTGCAGGAATCTATTTTTTTCATTGAACTCTGTCCAGAAAATGCTATGATACTGTTTTAGACAATGCTGGAAAAATTTAAAGACACAACTCTGTCGCCATTTTTGAGCTAGATGTTCATTTCGTATTGTTTCATGTACTGTCTCGATGTTCGTACTTATCCTTACTATATGTTGGCAATCTGTAGATTTCGGCATAGTGATATTACAATGAAATCGTACAACTTAAATCTCGAAGAACTTCCATCAACTCGTCACTATTTTCACATTCATTATTTGTAATATTTCGTAAGTCTTTGTTTTTCATGATATAATCTAAATCAATGTCATAATATTTTTTTGCTCAGCTTGTAGAGAATCAAACAGCTAGTGTAATGAAGAAGGATCAACAATAACCAATGAAGTGAATAGGAGAAAATCGAAAAGTGTAGCAATCATTTTGTGCTGTTTTTACGGACTACATTTTAATATCGTTCAAACATGTATCAGGGCTGGAACCGGACAGAAATTTCTAAAACGGTCCGGTCCGGCCGGAAAACCGACCGGTTATAAACCGCTCCTAAACCGGTGAAATTCCGGCAAAATTGACAAAAAAACGGTTGAACTCACTGCTTAAAAATCGTTCTAGATAGTCAATATATGGTATAAACTGGCAAACTCGGTTCCAACTATTAGATCAATAAACTAGTAATTAGGTAGAGCTATCCAAACAATATAATTTAGTTTTTCACACTATGAATGCAGACATCTGATAATTCTACGTTTTTCCCATCAAGCTTGTAAGACAAAGTTCGATTATTGAGTAATACTTTGAAAAAATACTGTAGAGAATTTCAATAGTTGATGAAATATAATTAAAACTTTCACCTCAGAGCTGGAATCGGTTGGGAAATGGTAAACCGATCCGACTGGTTGAAAAATCCAAGCGATCCGGTCGGTAAACTGATCGATTGAAGTCGCATGTCCTACCACTGAAATTCTGACAAAAACCGGAGAAAAAATGTCGAATTTTTAGAAAAAAGAAGTTTTAGAAACAACGGCTCCAAATATGAAATAGTTTAAGAGCACATGTCAAAGACACTCATCATAATGAATCTTTTTGAAGAGAATCTCAGAAAAATGATTGAAATAATATGCTTTGGTTACTTTTTCGCATTCGGACAGAAAAACATGGGACATCTTAGCTTTTATGGCCAAAAATAGGATTAATAAAGCAGATTTTTTTCAAACTTTCAACCGGTGAAATTCCGGTATTGCCCGGGCCGGTTGATTTTCCAAACCGGTCCGGTACCGGACCGGTTCCAGCGCTGACATGTATTATGATACTCTCAATGAAATTCTCTACTGGAAATTGAATAGTCGCTCTAAAGACACGAACCATTTTCCTGTTTTCTTTTGTATTCAGCAACAATCGTACCCTAGACATTTCTCGGATGACTAGAGCTCCTCGGCTCTAGGGCCAATTCGAACGGGCTATACTTGTCACTCAAAACCAACATGCAGTTAGAAAACACTTTCAACAAAGATATTAAATACGTATTTTTCAAATTTTCCCAGAGCATGTCTTTCGAAATAAAAAAAAAAAAAAAAGGATATTTG